GAGGGCAGATGTCACTTGTCCCCGCTCAATAATCTGGGGTGCTTTCTTCCTTGTATCTATGGACACTGAGTACCTGTCAAATTCCACAAAGCCCTTGGGAGGCTGCCAATTCACAATAAATGACCTTGGCTTCAAGGAGTTGCGATCAAAGGTCACATTTCTGGGTGCCAGTGGCACAGTCCTGTACTGTGCAGTAGTTGGAAGGGAGACCTGATCAACACTGAGAGTCTGGACAGATATGTTGTAAGGCCGGCCTGGTGTCAGCCCATAAAAGGCTGCCTGTGCTGGTCCTGGTGGTTCTCCTTCTTTCTCCACCAGGAACACACTGTCAGGAGCATCTGGTGGGTCAATTGAAACCTTGTACTTGGAGTATATTCCAGCAGGGTAGGGTGGCTGCCACAGCACCAGCATTGTAGTCTCATTTCTGAACCACACAATGAATCTTCCAGGGGTGTTGGGTACTGTTGTCACATTTTTTGATGCAGCATCTACACTCTCTGCATCACCAAATTGTGAATACAGCTCAAGGCCATATGAAGCCCCTGGGGTCAGGTCACGCAGTGTAAAAGGCGATGACTCGGTGATGGTGCTATTATGCACTGACTTCTGTGGCCCAGAAAATGGAATGACCTTCAGCTTGAAGCCAGAAGTACCACCGGCCCTTGAAGGCACCCATGAGACCTGGACAACTTTTCCTGACCTCACATTCACTGTAAGATTTTCTGGTGGATTGGGCCTGGTGTCAAGAGATTCAGACCATGCTGGCCAATCTGAGAAGGTATCATTGGTGAGATATAAGAATACTTCATACTTCTTGCCAGGCAGAACTTTTGTTAAGGTGATACCTCTTCTAACTTGCAGTGGAGTGAATGTGGCATTGGGTGCTGGGTAGCCTTCAGGTGGCCAGTAGTCCAAGCGGTAACTTGCGCGCTCATCCTGTATGTCGAATGGGACCTGAACAACCAGATCTGTAGCTGATCCACGGCAAATCAGCAAGGAGATGCCAAAAAGCAGTGCCACACCTGCACCAGGGGACCGAATCCAGGTCATCGCTTTAAATGCCAGCACTGTCCTTTCGTCACCTAACCTTGACAACCGAAGCACGACTTGGGCATGTTCCTTCGCGTCACATCACTGCCATTCCGACTTCATAGATCGTGCTGTGGAAGTTCCATCCCTGAGCTCTTCCACTTCCTCAACAACCGTCCAAGTCCGCTGATCCCACTTCCAACCAACATACACACACCCGCCCGCGGACGACGCTTGCAGCGCTCAGTCGCTCCAGTTGTGAAAGTTGTTGACGCAAAAGCGATGGGTGACCGCGCTAGAATTATCGAAATCAACCAGCATGGTTAATGTTCCATTTTCCCATACACTTAGTCGTAAAATAGCACAAGGCTTCCCTAAAATGCAGATTTGTAATAATTTATTTAATTTTACAACCCAAGTAATGGTAGGATAACGGACCAAACTTGCATTTATCGATGCTATAATCGATAAGCTGCGAACCTATAATCTGGGGACTTCTATAGAAGTCGGAGGCCCTTGCGGCGGCCACGTCCGTGGTACGCACATATGTCTGTTGTTAAAAAATGTCACTCCTTGTAAAAATAACGTTTCCGCATTTATCATACCCCAATACCCAGGCCATCGAATACTCATCTCGTATGCATCAACATCCATCACTTGTGCAAAACTTAACGCTCCAAACCCCATTGAGAGATGTCTTCAAAACGTTAACGGTCTCAAAAAAGCCAACGGCGGAAATTTAACGAAAGTTGGCGGTTCCACGGGTGTCGATTTGTATTTTTTATGAGGCCTTGCCCCCTCCCCCTCCCCATCTTGACGTGCCCCCCCCCCCCCCCTCCCCCCAATGTTGACTTGGCCCCCAATGTTTTTGGCGGAAATACTACAAAAACGGGTAAAAGATAGTCATAGCACAAACACTTTCTTCTTTGATCTTTCTGCGTAGTGGCGTCTCGTACCACTCCCATAACAAAAAGTCATGGCTACTCGCACCATAAGATACAGATCGTAACAGCTGAGCGGGTAAATGATGCAATCAACCTCACATTCCTAGCGCCATAAGACACGCGATGGTTTGTGATGTTTAAGTGAAAAGCTCTGAAACATGGGGATAGCCAAGGTCCTTAATGGCTAACCCCGTCCCCGTCTTCCACAACCAAAATGCGTGCCGCCCCCCACGACCGCCAAATAGGAGCGTCATCGGCGCCCTAAGGTGGCCCCTAAAGGGGCCACCTTCACTTGCCGATCAGAAGAGATGCGTGCGTCCAGTGCCTGCTCCCTGGATCCAACCCTGCATAACTCCTCTATTGCCTGAATTAAAGACTTATAACGTATACAAAGATCGAAAACATACATTACGTTAAATAACAAAGCGGACTAAATCCGGTGAGAAAAAATGGGGGTTGTCGATTCTTCGTTACGCCCCCCCCCCTCCCCCAATAATTTACCAAAATTGCCACCCTGAACGGTTCTGTTAATTGCTTTCGACGTAAACAGGAGCATGAAACCATTAAAGACAAATTGCTCCATTAAGGAGTAACATAAACAGATTCGTGCCCTCTCTGATGATGCGCTAGTGTTCCCCTTGTCAAAGATTTCTACGTCCAGTTTCTAACGTTGTCTAATGGTTTGGCGCCACCTACGTTGCTTATATTATGTAAAGATAATATGTGCATGAACCCCAAAAGTTGTTCTTTGTTTATGTCGGGGCTAATTTAAAATGATAGGCCTGGAGGGGCGACGACACCGTGAAGGACATGTCGGAGCGTTCGCCACAACTTCCAGCATGCTTTTCACGTGTCATGCTTCTTGTGCACCGAAAACGCTCGATGATACACAATTCATGTATTCATGTAATATCTTACCTTAACCGCTAGTCGACCATTTACATGCGCGCTAGCATGGATAAACATTCTCTAAAAAAATCGTAGCACTGCATCCAACACGAGCCGAGATACTCTTCACCGGCTATTTACTTATAAATGGCTGAGCAGTGAGCAGCCTCCACCCGCGCCTAAACGCCGCTGTCGTTTTAACGCATCCAGCTGCTGCCCGCTGCTCAGTCTCAAACACATCAGCCACGTATGACAGGAAAGCACCAAATACAAATTATCTTTATTGGTCAAAACAGACATGTAGATGCGTTTTCCAATGCTGATCAACAAGTTTATGAAAGGTGACACATTAAGTACACCAAAGAGAACATTGTGTTCATTAGGGTGCGTCCGTTCTGTACTGCACCCATTTATGTATGTAACTATCCTGTCCCGTAAGGCACGCGCAGGTCAGCAACCGAATAAATAATGAATCTATGGACCTATTCCGTCGCAGTTACGACGCATCGCATTGTCCACCATCCGTCATAAATACGGTACTTTGAATATAACGATGGATTCTCTGGAAAGGAGGCGATTAGAGTTTCGGAGGTACAAGTGAAAGGGATAGTCACAATTTTCGACCACTCTTGTGGAGCTACGCCCTCCTGCCTCCTTCTTATCAAAACAGTGGGGGTGAGAGTGCCCATTCTCGCGGTTTAGAGATCTCTTACACTTATTTCGGATATACAGATAAGCTTTTCACGAAAGTGGCATTGCGGTTCTAGCGTTCACATTGATCAATTCTCCAGCCGTGTTCCTGAGCTCATCTTACCACCGGGCTGATACTGCTCTGGTCATTCCAAAAATTAAAATTAACATTAATGTCATAAAATTAACACATGACATAATAAATTAAAATTAAAATTAATTAAAATTAATAATTATTAGAAATTAACCCTGTGAAAGTATCCTTTTTACCGAAATTAGCCACTTCATCGTGATTACCAACGACGTCGCGCAACCATTTATCTCACATCCGGACATGCCTTCTTCAAGTTTGGATTTACGGGCGGAACTGGTGACGTAATTTAGCCACAGCAACTCACCCATAACATGAGGTCAGACTAAAGGTGTGCCAATTTGTGGGCTCACGTGGTCGAGTTCTGGAGGCGTCAGTCAGCCACCCCACGTGAGGCAAAAACATACGAATGCTCATGTCTACGGGAATACGTATGCGCCTTTGGCCGGCCACTTACGCCCCGGGGACACAAACGGCTCCTTTCCACGGTCTGAACAGTTGGAAATAAAGTGTTGGACTCGACAATGCGTGCATGCTGTGAATGTATGCACTACCGCCATGTAGATAACATTGAAAATGCACGCACGGAAAATGCCGAGTGCAGCGGATGGGGGTAGGCTGGACCCAAAATGAAAACAACTTAAAAAGTACGAAAAATGTACCGATGACCCTCGTAATGTGAACCGAACACAACAGATTTGGAAGAGTGGTGTAGGGTTTGACTTACTAAGCTACATCAATCTGGTTTGTTATCATTGCGCGTCTTTTGATAAGGACCGTTGAGTTTCTACCCATGGACATCGCCAGAAGCTCGTCAGGAGGGGGGGGGGGGGGGGGGGGGTACGCCGGCCAAGCCTAGAAGTGGGACTGGCGACTGACATTAACGTGGGGCGTCCAGGTAGGCAGTGTGAGAGATGAACACCTTTGAAGGCAACCTTTGCCATGTACCAGTGTAGGGCTGACGCTAAGCACTCAGAAGAGGGTGTATGGGTCCGTCGACCCCCCCCCCCCCCCCTCTCGCGGTTTCCACAACCCCGCGTCCTTGGTCTGCGGCGACCGGCGGCACCCCCGTCTGTTGGGGCAGCGACGAGCGGTCTGTCTTCTGAACGGCTCCATGCATAAATCCTAGGTTTGGCCCTCCTAGATCATCGGATACCCCTCACCGTCCCCCGTCAAACCCCGGCGGGCCTTCCCCTGAGTGTCCGACAGGGGGCCCACATTGGGAAGCTTTGACAGACTTCCAAGGTCCCGGCAATTATTCTCGCGCTCGCAGACACAAAGAAAGCGTCAATCAAATTACTCATCGTGCCATGTCCCGACGTCCATACGTCCAGCTTCCGACAAAGCCGTGTGCGTGATTCGTTTCCTCGATGTCGGTGTATTGAACAGGCTCGTGATTCACTCACAGCCCAGTGCGAAGCCACCAGGTACGAACAGCACTATCGCCAGTCACAAGCACATGATAGCATTGGAATTTGCCTGAGAAAGCACAAAACCTACTGGTGCAAGAGCTTTGCATACCCAATGCACATAGACACCGTTGGTTATGGATGAACACTCTGGAAATTGATTGAGGTTAATATGCTGTCATCAGGCAGTTATTGTGCACGCATAATACCGACGAGCCCTGGCTAACGCATCGTGGCCAATCCGCACCTCTAAAACCTGCGGTCGCACCCCGCCGGAAAGCTCACAGCACACCCATACCGATGGAGTCTCTCGCCCGACGCCGGCCTACGAGGCGCCCTCGTGCGACTCGACCGACAGGGCGTGGGCTGACAGTCGGCGAGTCGAGCCGCTCAGCTCGGCCAGCCCGGCCGGCCGCGTCCACGGCTTCACGCGCACCCGGTAGAAGCGCGTGCCGCGCGGCACGTGGTACCGGTTGCCCTCCTTCTTCGCCTGGCAGAACTCGTGGCTGACCACCTCGGCGACGGCGTATTGACGGCGCGCCGTCTGCGCGCTCAGGCCAAGCGCTTCGTAGCTGTCCGAGTGGACGAAGTAGAGCAGCGTCGCCTCCTGGTAGACACGGTAGTGGCGTCGTTCGGCGTCCCACACGACGAGCACCACGTCACCGTCGTTGCACGTGAGCACGGACACCTGGCCGCGCTCCAGCAGGCCGCTGGTGCTGCGCGACAGCTGCATGCGCAGCCGCTCGTTGTCGCGCTGCAGCCGCCGCACACTGGGGAACATCGGGCGCCGCGCCCTCCGGCTCCGGCTCCAGCTGCAGCAGGCGCGTCTCGCTGTCAGCCAGCCGGTCGGCGGCGCGTTGCAGCTCGGGCGTCGGCGCGCCGCGCGCAGCCGCCTGCACGTCGCGGCGCGCCGCGCGCAGCTGCTCCAGCAGCAGGTCGCGCTCGGCCAGCAGTGGGCGGCGGCGCGCCGCCTCGTCGGCCCGCTGCTTGCCGCTCGCCTCCGACTGTGGCGAGCCCAGCGGCAGGTTCTCCGAGCTGCCATCGGACGGCGAGCCCAGGTTGGACGTCATCATGCGGAACCTGCGGCGGCGGCGGCGGCGGCCGGTGTTAGGGCGGACCACGACCCGAGCCGGTGTCGCAACACCAAGTGCCGCACTGGAGCCTGACAGCGCGTCTCGGGCAGGCCCTCATAGTGATGCAAGCGCAACCGACCAACGCAACGGTCTAACGGCTCAGTTCAAGCAAGGTCACGTCAAGGCCAACATCAACAAGATCAGAAAGAAAACAGCGTGTAGTTTTTCTATACTCCGGCTATGAAGGCCTGCACTGTGCGGCCGCTTTGCAGGTAACCTATGCAGTTTATCTGACAATAAAATATGCTGCACTCCCCAGGAAACTAAGAGATAAAATTGGGGTAGAGCAGATTTCGTAACAAATAAAAAGCAAATCCAAAACACGAAAGTTTTCAGCCAAATGGGAAACTCTGCCCCAGCAAAGAAGCTTTTGCTGCCCTCGATCGACCCGCACTGAGCGGGCTAGGCCGCGCCCGCCCAGAGCGCGCCACCGTGCTCTAACACCGATCTTACGTCGGCGGACTGCGCAGACAATAATGCTCTTCTGGTCAATCTCGATCTGTGAAAGGTAACATAAAGCGACCGAATGATGCGAGTGGTCGGTTAGCTCGACTATACCACAGACATGAGGACAAAAGTGGGCTTTATGGCACTTGGTATACGCATGTCTCAAATTACGCTGATATGACCGGCCTCCGTTGCATCAATCATATACCTGATCTGGACTGGTGCGGGCTGGAGGCCCTGGTGAATTATTTCTGTTCAGTGGCATTCAGCGCTAGTTCGCCTCTGACAGACAATGCTCCCGGGTGGTCAGCGTTCCGCTGTGGCAGCGCTCCGTCAGTCGGGGATGCAACGTAGCGGCAGATGTTGACGTCATAGGCGCACAGCCGGATTCAACGTCACGCGGGAGATTAGAAAAACCATAGTAAAGGACCCGGGAGATCCAGGAGATTCAGGCGCGCCCATTTACCCAATGCAGATCGAAAGTAATCGTGTTGACGATGATCATTTGGTGCTCATCGGACGGGTACCAGACCAACCATCTCAGCGCAAATTCCTGTTGAGTTTCCGTTTGTCATTGTTATGCACGTGACAAACTCCACAAAGCAGCCCGGTATCCGGTGCATACAGCATCTGTCTGATATCCGCCCACTACGGACTTCCACGCTGAGTGAATGTAAGCAGTAATTTCGTTCTGCACGATCGCCGGGGAATAAATAGTTACATACTTTCGACCGTGCTCACTACTGGCCTGGAGCAGTACACGACTGACCCAGGCCGTATGCAGCACCGGTTTAGAGTGACGCATCGCCGCTGCGGGGAGATATCTCGCCACCCGGGTCTCCGGGGGCGGCTGACCCGGGCGGTGCACCGGCCCGGGCGCCCTCCTGTGCCGGCGCGGAGCGTGGCTGACCTGGAGCGGAGCGCCTGCACCTCGGCGCGATGCTCGGCGCGGAGTCGATCGGTGACGACCAGCACGGCAGCCTCCTGCTGGGCGGCCGCCTCAGCCGCCTGCTGCTCGGCCAGACGCTCCTGCTCCGCCGCCCGCTCGGCCAGCAGCCGCTGGCAGCGCTCTTCGATCTCGCGCTTCTGCTTCTCGCTCACCTGGTGGCGGCGGCACGCGCTCGCAGAGGCCCGGGCGCCGACACAGCGCGATCGCGAGGATCACGCGCCAAGCGCAACGCTTGTCAAAGTGGGAACTGAGGGTTACGGTCGTGTTGCTAGCCGAGGTCATGTTGCGCCTTTACACACGATTATCGACGCAATAATGATCTAATCTAGAGCTGCTACTTACGGTTACACGGCACACGAGTGTTTTGGACCCGCTTCACGGCTGCGGCACATCGTTTTGCACCACATTCCAGTGCCCAAACGCCCCAAAAGACTGGCGCTTCAGGAACACAAGGCCACCTGCGCTACCCTACCAACCTCAGCTAGCCGCGGCAGCCGGGCCGAGTCCTCAGCTCGGCCGGGCCGAGTCCTCACGAGTCCAGTCCTCACCTCGCGCCACTCGAGGATGAGTTTGGTGCGCTGCTCCTCCGCCTGGCGCTGCAGCTGGGCGTCATGCGCCTCCTTGGCGGCGCGCCGCTCCGACTCGCTCTCCGCGCGCAGCCGGTCGGCGCACGCCTCCACCGCTTTGCGCTCGCGCTCCTGGAAGCTGGCCTCCAAGATGCCAACGATGCGCTCACGGTCGGAGCCAGCGTCCAGCTGAGCACGCAGCCGGCCGGCCACCAGCCGCTGCTCCTCCAGCTCCTGCTCCAGCCGAGCGCAGCGGTCCTCGGCGCGCTCCAGCTCGACGGTCTGCTCCAGCGTGAGGGCACTGACGGCCTGCTGCTGCTTGCAGCGCGCTTCGTCCCGCTCCTGCTGCCGCTGCTGCTCCAGCGCGGCCAGCTGCGCCTGCTGCGACTGCGGGAACGGCCGGCGCTGGTCACGGCGTCGCCGAACGCGCGGCTCCGCGGCACACGGGGCCGGGACTTGTAGCGGCGAACATCAAGCACACAGACAGTCGCCGCGGCCAACACCCCGGGGCTGAGACTTCCGCGCCGAACATCCAGCACACAGACAGCCATCGCGGTCAACAGACGACCGCTTAACCATGCAAGTCCTCCCGCAATCCATCATGATATAATGACACGTAACCTGCAAGTTTCAGATGTAAGCTCTGTGGTTGGCTACGAATCGCGCAGAAACGCGTCGGGCACTCGACGCGGGCGTGGCGGGCTCTCCCGCCGCCATCCCCGACAGCCGCCGTGGATGGCGACAGAGCGCGGCGGCCAGCCTCACCTCCAGCTGGCCCTGCAGGTCGGTCAGACGCGCCGTCTCCAGTCCGGCCACAGTCTGCACGGCCGCCGCCAGCCGGGTGCCGCCGGCCGCCAGCTCGCGGCCGAACGCCGCCACCTCGGCCGCCACGTCGGTGGCGAGTCGGCGCAGTTCGGCGCGCACAGCCGGCAGCTGGGCGGCCGGCGGCGGCGGCGGCGGCCCGGCTGCCGGCAGCGGCAGCCGCACCTCCGGCGTCAGCAGCAGGCCGGCCAGCTCGGGCACGGCCTCGCGCAGCCGGCGCACGTGCTGTTCGGTCAGCGGCGGCAGGCGTGCGTCGTAGTCGGCCGGACACTCGGCGGCGAACGGTGGCGGCACTTCGTCCACGCCCGGGAACATGCCCTTGATGAAGTGCGACTTGAGCGCGTCGCCGAAGCGGTGGCGGCTGAGGGACTCGGCCGCGTGCACCTTGGCGGCGCTGGCAGCGATGCTGCCCGCCCAGTCAAGGAACTGGTCCGTGAACTGGCGCCGCCGCACCACCTGGCACACAACAGCCACCCGTCAGGCGGCAGCGGAGCCGATGCTCCGAACACAGGGTGGACAGGCCGGCTGGAAACATCGGCTCAGGCCGCTCCAGACACACGGAGCCGCGGAGGAACACGATCGGCAGCGACCAGCTCACGTCAAACCGCTCCAGACACACGGAGCCGGGGAGGAACACGATCGGCAGTCACCAGCTCACGCCAAACCGCTCTAGACACACGGAGCCGGGGAGGAACGCGATCGGCAGTCACCAGCTCACGCCAAACCGCTCCAGATACACGGGGCCGGGGAGGAACGCGATCGGCAGTCACCAGCTCACGCCAAACCGCTCCAGACACACGGAGCCGGGGAGGAACACGATCGGTAGTCACCAGCTCACGTCAAACCGCTCCAGACACACGGAGCCGGGGAGGAACGCGATCGGTAGTCACCAGCTCACGTCAAACCGCTCCAGACACACAGAGCCGGGGAGGAACACGATCGGGAGTCACCAGCTCACGCCAAACCGCTCCAGACACACGGAGCCGGGGAGGAACACGATCGGCAGCCACCAGCTCACGCCAAACCGCTCCAGACACACGGAGCCGGGGAGGAACGCGATCGGTAGTCACCAGCTCACGTCAAACCGCTCCACGGAGCCAGGGAGGAACGCGATCGGCAGTCACCAGCTCAAACCAGTGCCTCAACTGGCTCGCTCCATACACGGCCGTCAGGTGCCAGCCATCTCACCTCGGCCACGGCCGTCCAGTACCAGCCATCTCACCTCGGCCACGGCCGTCAGGTACATGGTGGGCGCCTGGTGCAGCGCTGACAGGACGGCCATCTGCTGGCGCAGCTGCTTCAGCCGCTCCGAGTGGATCATCAGCTTCGTGGAGAGTTCGGTCATGCGCTGCTGGATGGAGACGACCCAGCAGAGGCGCCGGTGGATGTTGGCCGACAGCTCCTCCTTGGCCTTGGCGCACCGCTTGCGCACGTCCACCAGCTGCTTGTGCTTGTCGAGCATCACCTGCGGGAGGTGCGGCTGGCTTCCAGACGTGTCCCATGCGGTGCGCGCGCACAAGAGGCGCACGTAACGCCCCGAGCGACCACGGCCTAACCGACCAGGGAAGTACAAGTGAAAACAAAAGGTCAAATTGAACGACAGCCCGCACAAAAGACCAACCAATCAAACATCACGAAAGTCGACGAAGGCTGACAGCAGCGCATCACCGACTCTCCCTGTAACCAAGCCGTGGCGAGCACAATGATTCCGTCTCAACCCCGTTACCCGTACCCGGCTCTGGGAGCAGCGCGCACCAACGGCTCTCTCAGATGGCACCCGGCGCCAAGCTGACCAGCTCGGAGGGCGCGGCGCCGCTCTGCTGACCTGGAGCTGGGTGCAGTGCGACGCGCACAGGTCGGGCAGCACGGACGGATCGTTGACGCAGCTGGCGCGCGCCTGGTTCTGGATGAACGCCTTGGCCAGCTCCTTCTGCTCGGAGACGGTGGTCTGCGCGCGGTGGCGCAGCTCGTCCAGCCGCATCAGCCTGTCCTCCAGGCCGCGGATCTCCGACATGTCTGACGCCATGGCCGGGTCCAGGATCTTGTGCTGCTCGGCCGTTAGCTCCTGCAGGAACTGCTCGTCCAGCAGCTCCAAGCCCTGGTGCGCTTTGTCGCACACCTGCCACATGGTAGCAGCGATGTGATACAGACACCGAAAGCACAGCCACACAGCCCGCACTACCTCAGCGCGAGCACCGGTGCCAAAAACTAAGATCGATTAAAGAGAATGTCCCACACTTGAAAATGTCGAAGCACGCATCAGATATGATGAAATAAGCTCACTCATAACTGGTGTATACTTTGAAGTCAAAAAGACAGCTCGAGGCAACACAATTTTTCTGTTAAGTAAATCTGGATCCCAATACGTCATGGTTTGATTACGCCATCGTACCTTGCACAATACTGAGAGCTAATTGACGGCCGTTATATCTGGACATTATGCTTATGAACGTCAGATATGAACGACTCAACAATTGTATTCTGATTGGCCTTAATCGCCGCATGGCCAGTGAAATGACAGGACTTATATGACGTTATTATGGCGCCATGGATGCCTGAATGATCTTGAAATAGCTTCCCCGAAACAGTCTGCACATCTTCGCGGTCGTGTAGCTCAGAAACTAGAGAGATTTAGGTCTTAAGAAGGGCAGGGCTGTGAGCTGCACCGAATGCTCTTCAAGATGGCCATATCAGTTCAAAACCACATACAAATATGAAACACTCCCTTTAAACATGAACCAAGACAACCCAACTTGTCCTCAATCAAGTGTGCGTGTTAACACACAAGCTTGCTGCAATGCTGTTCACGAGCCCATTAACTACAGGACACCTGGCGGCCAGTAAACTGGCCGTAAACTGGCTTATCAGTAAACTAAAATGTAACTGTTACCAAGGTTCCGAATGGCAGTAACAACCTTAATTTGGACCAGTACACTCAGTCAAAAGAAGTGTTCCCGATTTCGTGCCATTTGGTGGACGGGGCATTAGCAATGATAGTAAAGCGCTCATTAGCACCGTCCAATTGTCAGCAGCTCGTCAGCACCGTTCAATTGTCAGCACGGAGGTGACCCTGAGGGGGCGGCCCACCTCCTCCAGGCGGCGCGTGTCCTGCGCGCTGATCCAGTCCAAGATGGAGCTGCCGGCCGGCACCCGCGTGGCGCCCGCTGCCGCGTCCAGCTCCTCCAGCATGGGTATGCGCGCCAGCTAGCTGCAGGTCCTCCGGGAAGGCGTCCAGCAGCGCGAAATGCTGCGGCCGCTCGGACAGGTACTGCTGGAACTGCTGGCTGAAATGACAGCGAGTCGTTGGGTGTTGCGGGGCATGTTGAGCACAGCACAGCTTTAAAGGCACACAGAATGCCTTGCTTCACTGCGTACTCATCAAATGCTGAACCAAGGCGCAGTCCGAGAACTGCGAGTGAAATGGTCTTAGCTCTAGCGTCCAACCAAAATCCATTGGCTGCGGGACCGTTGCACGCCTGACTGCTGCCGACGCCTATGAATCGAATTGCTTTCAAATACTTTGATCTCAGGTTAACGGTGAAAGTGGATCGCAATCAATCAGTGGCGCGTGAAACCATACCATATCCACTGATCTGATACCATCTGATAAACCATACCATATCCGCTTGCCTTCAGCACCTTGCGTGAAGCAGCGAACACACCCACCTGAAGCGGGAGCTGGATGCCACCAGCACCTGGGAGAGGTCGTCCATGTTGGCCACCACTGCCGCCCAGCCCTGCTGCTGCAGGTGCTGCTCGTGGATCAGCAGGTCACAGTGGCGCACCTGTGGCAAGGCCGGCAGCTGCGATACCAGGCCACCTCTCTCGCAACGCCTCCACGCACGGGACGACCAGGGCTGGGTGTGGCAGTGCCCCACAGAGGGGAGGGGAGGGGGCATCGAGCCGTCCAGGAAGAGCCATTGACTAGATTAGGAATGGGACGACGCACATGCCTCGTCATAACGATATGTTTTCGGCGGCGAGACCACAGCATTCGTTCCATGCGATGTGTCCCTGCCACAGCTGCTAGAGAGGCGTAATGCGGTAACAACAGCAATATCCGAGGCGCGCCACGTCCTCCCATCTCCCGGCATTCCAACAACACCGGCCCATCTACACGCTAAAGAGCCACCCTATCATGAACGCGCTGAGTGAGAGCCGTCCCGCCGACTCACCTGTTCTCTGCCACACTCGAAGATCTGCTGCGCCAGCTGGGACCTGGACACCACGGTAGAGTAGCTGGGCGGCAGGGCCATGGATCCGGCCACCTGCGGCCGATCCGTGACGTCACTCTCGGCGCCTCGTGCCGTGGCGCGCCGGTGCTGGCATCCCACTCATAACGGATTACTCGGCGTGGCTAGCCGCGGGGCGCGCGCACGTAACTACCACTGGTGACACATACCCTCCCCCCCACGATGCCAGTTCTATGGCATATGTTGAGAGGCGCGTGAATAAGCGTTGGGAGTTGAAATCCCAGGTAGACACGTAAAAATTACGAGATTGAGAACATGTGCTATCTTCACCACTCACAAGAAATTGTGACTTGCAGTATGCTAAACTAGGTTTTCACCAAAAACATTTCAGTTGTGCCCCTGCTCCAGAGTTCTGTGTGTGCCCCTGGTCAGACACCCCCATAACTCATGTTACAGATACGTGATGGTGCTTCATAACAATCAGCCCTGAGACGCCCTGATCATTTATGCTCCACTTCATCATTCTTGGACAACTCCCTGCTCTAACAAGTTACACGAGCTTCACATCTCAGAGCCACAGCACTGCAAGACCGCGATCATGTGCTCGCCGCCACGCCGCCAGCACCGCCCGTCAGCCCACTGACCTGGTCCTCGATCTCGTCGCTGCTCTGCATGGGGTCGGTAGGCATCTGCGGCGCCTCGGACAGCTTCGAGAAGAGGAAGATGGGGCTGGTGTCGGTCCCAGCCGGGTAGCTGCCGACGCGGGCCGTCGCGTCCAGCCACTCGCCACCGCTGATCAGCAGCACCTGAGAGCGGGCGACGCAGCATCCGAGTCAGTGCACCACCCGCTGGTAACCAGAGGCTGCGCGAGCCGAGGGACGGTGCATAGGCGAGCCCACTGGTGGTTCACATTGCAGCAGCAGCATAGCTGAGGAAGGGCTGTGGAGTGAAGAAGCACACAAATGAGACCAAACATTGGTTGATGGGTGAGAGAAAGCATACAACTGAGACCAACCATTCATTAGTGCTAGAGAAAGCATCCTAGAACTGAGACCAAGCATTGATTGATGGGTGAGACAAAGCATACAAGAGACCAAACAGTGATCAGGAAAGGAGCACCTTGCTTGTAAAGCATGAACACATCTGTACCAAAAAATTGGTTACATCACATGTGCATCTCAATGGCAGTCATATTGTCACACATGCTCTCTCAAGGAAGGCTCTCTCAGATGTTAATCCTGCATTCACAAACCTGCTTGTCTGGAGGGATCCTGCAGCACTCCGCAATTTTTTTCTTCAGTACATCCACAGTTTGCATAGCCAACTGCATATCAAATGTCAGTGTGGTGCCTGTGTTGACTAAGAAAACATACAGCATGATTTCTGATGGGACTGTCTCCTCTGGCAGCAGTGGAAGTCTTCCAAGCTTCACTGAAAAAATCAGCAATAGAACAATTGGCATATAAATCTCATTAGTTTAGAGTTGATGAAATGCTGCAATCAAACTTAAGACAAATTGACCACTGATAAAATCTGACACATGATAACATGCTATGAGCACCACAACAGAAGGCCTGCCAGCTAATATTGCAGCCATTAATATTGGCACAAGGAGGTACTGAAGTGTTCAAGCACCATAATCCATAACTTGCCCCTCCAGGATCCCAGCTAATTTTATGATGCTTTGATCTTGTACTTGATTTCCACAGATGCATGTAGGGAAGGCACTTGTGTGCCAAAGCATAACCCTCAAAATAGGGTGAAAACCTAAGCATTACTCAGATATAGCTCTTCATTGGATCATGATCAAAGTTTGCCACATTTCATGTTAACTTGGGCACAAAGTCATGTGATCTTGTTGAGATGGTGACATGCCATGCTTGGAAATGGTTGATCTCTTTAGCTTTGAACTGTTCAAGTTAAGTCAAATTTTGAATAAGGTCTAGCCACTTCATAGTATAACTCACCACTTTTTAAGGTCTTAACAATGTTGCTTGTGAACGAACATTAGTTTACAATAAACTTTGACTGTTCCAGCCACAGAATGAAGTTTGTTACAAGTTTTAAGTTCAATAAGAAATGAACCTACACACCATATCCTTTTCTAAATCCCAAAACATGAATGCTATAAGCAGGGCTGTAGAATCATGTTGTTAGAGAACCTTGCCTATATGACCTGCCACCCAGCCTTCCCCATGTCTTCAGAGCTGGTGGTTGCAAAACCTAGAGAGGAGAAAAGGCTGGCAGAGCAGAACTGATTTTGGAAGGACTACTTGTCATGTAATGTCACAGGGTTATGATGAAATTTGTATTTAATTTGTTGGCAGCTGTCTCTTTGGCCCCTACTCCCAATTTTTCCTTGTGCAGAGCCATTCCAGCCTGATACCAGCCTGCCAAGTTACAAAAAGCACATGCCACCAGTTATAACTATATAAATTGATGGCCCAGAGAGCAGACTTGCAGCAAAAATATCAGTGTCCTGAGTTTGAAGTATGTCCAACCAGTAATTTCCACCCCTAGGGTGATAATGTTCAACAAAATTAGGATCTTGTAGTAGCCATTTACAGCAAAAAAGAAGAAAGAGAAATAGGTATTCACACTGAAAACTTCTCTGAGGTTAACAGTTGAAAAAAAATTACACACAAGTTAGCCTCAACTACATTTAAAACATACATGCACCAAATCAAGTACATCATGTTCACGTCACATCCAACACTGAAGAATGTAATGTTTTTTTTGGGCTACTGGCCAACATGTGAAAACAATAGCAAATGTAAAAATAAAAGTATGATGCCTTGATTTTCCCAATATCACAAAAAAGTCATACATCTGAGGACAAAACAGTATCTAAGCCCCGGGGATACTCTAGGTCGATTAATCAGGGACATAGCAGCCCTTATGGTTTTGCGAATCTGGAACTTCGGCAATTCAGGAGGCTAGGTATGAAAAGACTGCTGCGTTGAAGTGATGCAGAAAGATTGAACCTACGATTCACACCAACAGTATGCCGAAACGTCCAATCGCGAACGCGACCCACCGTCGCGACAGATTGCACGATTTGTATTGGGTCTGGGGCGAGAAACACGGAGATAATACGCACATCGCTCCCCGTCACGCTATCAAATGTAAACGATAACAACAACAAAGGAAAACAGCTGATACGGAAACGACATTGGTCAACTTACCCCACAATTGTCGAATAAATGAATTGCCCGCGCAAAGGAAAGGCTTAAGCAAAGCAAGATATCCGCTTTCCCTCATTGTGTTACAAATTCGAAAACTTTTTCCTGAAATAACTTTTAAAACTTTTGGACTACAAAGGTGTAGGCAGTTCATCCGCAGCTGATACATTTACCATGCCCGTTGCACAATAACATGCCTGTCGCATTCGAGCAGTACGTTGCGTGGTGTGTGTGTGAGGTACGGGTCTCCGGGATATTTGTCATCGATATTCTCTGACGTCTGGGGTTTGTGCGACCGATTTTTAACTATAATTTCGCCTTCGACATTATTTTTAGGTTAAGGTGAGAAGCAAGAAAGTGTAACATGATTGTATATTACCATGATGGTCAAAATTCGCACCATCTAACTGCATACATTTAATGAATGGACTGTGTTTAAAGATGGAGTCATAGTTATAGATTTTGAAAATGGTGTTGCCTATTTGTTTTGCATGGTTATTCAATGACAAAATGTGTGGCAACATGAAAAACATGCTAATGAATTAAATTATCCAATTGTTAGTGAAATGAGGAAATTTGTGGTAACATGGAACATGATAAATGAATTAGTGTGCTCTCACATTAAAAATCTATACTTACTTCTAAACAAGTTTCTTAAGGCACAGTTCTTCAAGGTTGTCTCTGCTTTATCAAGCATCATTTCTTAGGCATGGCAGAACACCCTAAAGAAAATTCAAGCATGACTGATGAGGAGCGTCAGAAGTTGGCTAAATCTCTGGATGATGATTTGGACAGCTTTATAGGAAGCCTGAAGAAAACAAAATACAAAGATGGCTGGAAACCTGATACATGGGAAAAGGTAAGTTTGTCATAATCATATTGTGTGACACTCACTGTCAAATGCCCTCTAATGCAGGAAATGTTCTATAAAACTGCTTTTGGCACTCACAGCCTGTATGGAGGTGATGTTTTTGCTGTTGTTTTGCTGCTGATGTTTGATGTTTAACTGTTGACAATTAGTAAAAGACCACTTTCCTCTAGGGACCAGAGCTTATTTTGTCTGGAAATGTCCATGCCAAGTACTCGGACCTGCTGTCCAGCTCAAGGGTAGATGAGGCCAGACAATGCATAAATTTGATTGTGATTGTAATGTGATCCGTTGAATACCCTTGTTTTGCATGAGGTTGATCAAAAGCTGTTTTTGGCAGGAAATGCAAGAGCATCCATTCTTCAGGAGCAAGCCATTTGAGGATGGAGAGGAGCTGCCTCCTCTCATCCAGGGATTGCAGGATCTGAAATATGACAAGACTCTTCATACTGAGGAAGGTTGGTCTTGTGTCCAGATAAATATCCTTACTACTGCTGCTAACTTTACAGCTACTGCAGGGATAGTTTGTGGTATACTGATGGCCTTGACTTGTATGATAGTTGTGTTTGGCAGTGTCTTTTAACCATGCTACACTTCTGTGTTCCAAATATTGCCTGAACACTCCACCAAGGTATTGTAATTGCAGCACCAAAGACAATTCTGCCCAAGGCCATTTCGTACAGTGCCATAACGTGGCTGCTCCCTGCCAGTTGATGTCACTTTCGAAATGACCCAAATATTATGCCTGTAATTTGATCAGATCATTTTCACCATGCTGATGCTGATCATGCTAATATGCTTGTATTTTCATGGCATGCTGTTGCTGCCTATCCTTTTGGCTTGTTTACACAGGCCATTGCGGATGTGTTGACTGGTTACATGTGACATCGTCGCTATCCTGAGTCTCACGTTTCCTTGCTCGACTAACATCACGGTTGTTCTTTGAAGTTGACTGATGCTCTTGCTTCCCCGTCGATGCGCCGCCTTTTCATGACGGGGCGGGGAGGGGTGGGGTGGGGTGACTAAAAATCTTGCGGGCGGAAGGGGGATCTGCAAAGAGTCCTTGCCGCCTGAACGAGGGGAAGGGGTGTAGTTTCCCATTCAGTTAGAGGACTTCAGCCCCCCCCCCCATCAACTTGGGCTTCAGCCCCCCCCCCATCTTGGGCTCCAGCCACCCCCTCTCAAACTTGGGCTCCAGCCCCCCCCCCCAAGTTTGGGAAGACCGTGGGCCAAATCTGAGGAGAAACCTGTGTTTTGGCATAGTTTGGTTGGGAAGATTGGGTCATTTTTCGCTGTTCAACCCCTTGACTCAATTTGGAGGAGGGAGTTCAGGTCAATAACGCTTCGCAGTTCGATCAATAATGCCTCCTTGTTCCGACATGAGTCGCTGGAGTCCAAGGAAGGGTTACATTCTTTTCATGAAGAATTACATTCTTTTCATGTGACATTTCATCTTATGAAGCTATTTCCTTGGTCTTTGTGAAACGGTGGGTGTAGATAGTGGTGCTTGCGTGTTTTGCTGGGCGGGAATTTTTGTTTTTTTGTTTCGGCTCGTTAAGTTCGGCGTGTATTTTGATTTTTTAGAATGGCTATTTTCATTACTGATTATATGCTCTGCAAATTAGAGCCCATTGCCAACATCGTGTCTGGTCAAAATGCGGAACGAGAGGCGGTCTAATTATTTCGAACCACTGGGCAACTGGTTTATTGGATACCACATTGAAGCTGGCGCGTTGTGTGGGGCCGCCCTGCGTCTTGACTTTTCCCCGTATCTTGGTCATTCGATGTCATTTATATCCAAAATGTATGTGAAGATGAATGGTAATGTTAAGTGCGCGCGGCACATCTACTCTTATCCGTTCTTGCATCTGCAAGTACGTGCATTTTCGCTGATATTGTGAAATGTGACACGTTTCCAAATATCTCAGGGATAAACGTTTCTCAAGTCACTGTCGCGGTTTCGCTTCCACGTATCACTTAGAGCCTACAGCACGAACACCCTGGCACATCAACGACGCAGCAAGCAAATTCGGCTGAAAAACATGGCAACGCCTATCAGCACGCTCAGTATGGTAGTAGCATACAGTCGGAATCGACGTTTTTGACCGACGGGAGGCGCGCTGCACTCACATCATCGTGTCTCTGGTCTCCAACTGATATTTAGAATCCTCGTTATCAAAAGCTAATGGCGGGATCATTATTGATTGCTCTGATTCTGATTACTTTGTTTTGTTCACGTTTGCCTTTTCACATTACAGCTCTGAGTGCACGACATTGTTAACGACTGGGTGACTGCCTATCAGCGGATACGAGAATTGGTCGGTTATTGTTGCTGCATGCACGTTTTACGCTGGTATCTGATGCGCTTAGGCAGGTCATCTCTGGCGGCTTCCTGATCTGTTTCGCCGCGTGGCGGAATATAAAGCAACAGTGATTTGATGATGTGTACGAATGCCCAGTGCGTATTTTCATCACCACATTCAAGGACATTATTCGCACGACCAATCCAAATCGTACGACAAGGTGTACATACACACTGGCGCCGGAAGCACACGTCGCCTGGCCACGAAAGGCGTTGCACAACATTGCCCCCGTTCGGTGACCAGGCCCCGCCCAGTCGTGGCACGGCAACCGTACCGCAATCGGAGGGGTGAGAACGGCCGGCTGAGGACAGCATGGTACTTGTCCACTCTCGGTCTTCGCGAATGATGGGCTCGAGGCGAATAGAGGTTGTGGAGGCTAGACCTCCCGTGTGCTGGGACGCGACGCTGTTATATTATTGTTTCTATGCCGACTGGCCGTGACGTTATCAAAGCCCACTTACTTCGAAAAATCCCCGGGGCGTTAAAAGCGGTCGTTCTTTCGGGAGCTCGGCGGGTAGCGCCCCGTGCATGTGTTTCCTGCGGACGCTTTTTGGGGGCATTCGTAGAAAGGACTATGGATAGTGGTTGGACAAGGCTACATTCACCGTTAAGCCCTGCGCCGAGACATAGGCCTCACAGGGACACCCCTTCAGGGCATGTGTGGACGCTCGTACGGTCTTTAGGGCACACTTCACCCCCACTCTATGCTGGCGTATACAGGTTACCCCGGGCAAACGAGACATCGGGACGGTGCTGGATCAAGTATGAGCGAGACAAGAGGTTGGATGTGGAATATTTACTGGTCCTTTTTCTCCCCTTCGTTCGGAAGATGGCGTGGTGTTGGCCAGACTTGTTGCGATCTTTGTCGCTGTCTGACACCTGTATCTGATCAGTCAGGCAGCTGTCCCGACCCAGCGCCTGACCGTCCCGTCAGACGTGTTGAGCACGTGACCACAACCTAACACAGACGTAACGCGACACGTTCATACGTGCTTACATCTACAAACGCACTGACAACTGCCCACAGGTAAGCGCGCTTAAATCTTAGCGCTTACACATGTATGCATGGGCACTTCCTACAAAACAAACGTGCACAGCATTAGATTGCTTGCGTAAACAGCCATTCGAAAGCACGCAAATCTGGAATACCAGGCTACAATGTAATAAATATGCTGAAAAATCAAAAGTTAGAAGTAAAGACGCGGACGGAAGCCCAACTCACTTTTGGCGGTGGGCCTCCTCCCGCGCCGTTGTGTGCCACCTGTCGCGGAGAACATGTTGGATACGGGGGACCTGAGGGTCTGCACGAAGACGGGCATGGCCGGGCGTGAGTACGGCGTCACCGACGTGCGGCGGGCCGGCGCTGCTGGTCGTCCAGCCGTGTTGGCATCGCCGCGTCATCGGCTGACGACGTGTGGTGAAACCGTGAATCAGCCAGCGCCGACCGGCGGACGGAGCCCCCGCGCCACCCCCCCCCCCCCCCCCCCGCCCCCTCCAACAGGCTTGGGGAAGTCCAGGCATTGCCGTGGAGCGCATTCTGAGGGAGGGAGACGCGTATGGGGTAGTCGCTTCTGCACTTTTTACCTTTCCATGCGTTTCAAGACTAACACGGACCTGGGCGGCCGGTTGGATACCTTTCGCTCGGGTGGGGTCAATTTGCCCCCTGAGATATCAGGAACTAAGGGAGCTAGAGACACCAAACTTACAGGGTGTGTTGGCCTGTACGTGAACCCACTTAGGTCAAAGTTTGAGCTTCCTAGGGTATGGGTTTCGGGTCAAATAAGGTCAAACAAGGTCAGGCTCCAGATTGTTCTCCAAAGTCCTCCAGAACCTAGTTACCTGTTCTAATCAAACGGTCACATGCTTATTTAAGGTCAGTGACCCTGTTTGACCTTTCGAAGATCATGTTTGCCGAAATCATACAGGACTGCGTTGAGTTTTGTACTTGAAGAAGCGACAAAGATTACGTTAGACATTATGTTCCTAAAAGCAAAACGATGGCCTTTGGTTGTTTTAGGTCGATGACCTATTCTGACCTTTAAGAAGTCACGAGATATATTTTGTGGTTCCTGTGATCAATAAATTCGAAATGAGCACTAGAAACTACCGTATAAAGCAAGCCCTACAGTAATAAAAGAGGTTGGTTGTGACCCTAGTGTGACCTTCACCCCTGACCCTAGGTCAATGTTATTTGTTAATCCAACTGTTGCATTGCCTAATAAGTATCTCAGATGTTTATACTTTGTCGAACACTCCGTTGTTTTATTAGATTGAACCATCCCCTAGAATTGACTTCACTAAATCCATGGCTTGACTTTGGCCTGCTACAGGTGAGTGACCTTACAAAATACATTAATTTTTTACACCACACGATCCGCTATTCAATTTTCTACAGCCGTGCAAAGTTTGGCGTGGTTTCGTCGCGCCGTTCGGAAATCATTCCGGGAAAGCCTTCGGAGGGTGGTCAAATTTACCCCCTCCCCCTCCCACCCGAGCGCGTGCTTATACAGGGTTGTACCGAATGTGGTTGCTTTCGTCCTAATCCGTTGTTTCCGAGTGCAAGGCCGTGGAAACTGACATTGACACAACAGCCAGACAGGCACTCAGACATTATCAGATTTTAGACGTTCGCAAGTTTTCTCAAACGAATTATTATTTTACACAATGACTTGAGGCAAATGATTCGCAGGAGTGGCATCAAAAACCGAAGCGAGAGCCAAAAAATGGAGGCAACTTTCAGCAGACGCGACAGTCGCCTTAATGTGAACTTTTGCGCATGTTCTGATGCAGGATGCCGCGAAATGATGGTCGTATATTGTCACCTTTTCACATGTGGAGCCTTTGGGATTTGGGTAAAATGTGTTTGGAAATTCACTAAGCTTTTAGGACTATCAGATGTGACCAAAACGGTATGGCCGGAAAACGTGAACCTTTACCCCACGCACTTTTTGGGTCTGAAGCAAAATATAAAGGGCTTGTCCCTTTATGCTTTCGTACCCTTATAATATGCTGGATTTTCGGGAAATGTGAACCTTTACCCGACGTGCTTTTTGGGCCTGAAACAAAACATAAAGTGCTTACCCCCTTATGCTTTCGTCCCCTTATAATGTGCTGAATTTTGACCAAGGTGTAAAAGAAATGAGCGTAAAATTGATTACATTAATGAAATATTTTATCCATAGATGGCTTCGTTATATCAACTTCGTATAATACCTTGCCATCAGCGGTACTAGTTCCAGCAGAGAAAGTGTTGTCGTGAATCATGCATTCATGAGCACAATACATGAGTTCTGAACTTTTACCTGAAATCACCAGCTTCCAGATGACCACCTGGTGTGAAATTTGGAAGTGTCTAGCAAGTGCCTAGCCGCGAGGGATCACTCGGATCCCTCACGGCGTAAGAGGACATGACAAGCCCTTCAGTCGCACTCGTTGGCGGCCTGACGCGGCGGCCACGGCGGGCCGAGTCACCCGCGAGCGCTGACGCTGGCCACGTCTCCGTTGTTCTGCACGGCTTGAAGTTGAACACTGCTTTCTGAAATCACAGTCTTATTTCCGGATGGTCCGCACGCAGAGCTGGCGGCCACGTTCAAGGAGGACGGCAACATCTGCTTTAAGGTGAAGAAGTATCGACACGCGGTGGACAACTACTCGGAGGGTCTGCGACAGCGCCACACGAACACGGAGCTGATCACCCAGCTACTGACCAACCGGGCGGCGGCGCACTTCCATCTGGGCAACCTCAGGTCAGCAGCCGGGAATCCAGGTCCCCTGCGTTACATCGCCGACGTCCAGAACAGCTCAGGTCCTGTCTCACACCACCGATGCCGATCGACCACGTTTACCAGTGTTATTCATCACCAGCCGCCGCAACGACTTCTCACCACCAGTTTCGCCGTCCCTGTGGTACGCTTTACAGTGCCCTGCTGAGCATGCCCCTCCGACGCCGTCCTGTGGACGATGTCACTCAGACTGCGGCCCGTTGACCGCGTACGGCTGACCGCCCGGCTGTGCGCGTCCCCTTAACGATGTTCTGCTGCATTGTGCTGGCCAAGTCATGCTTATAGTGCCCTCTCCGTGTTCCGCTTGATATCCGTGACTATGTGCAGCACACCTTGTGTTGGCGACTATCTCCTACTGACCCGGTCTCGCTGACCGGTGTCCGCTGACCTGTGTTCTGCTGACGGCGGCAGGTCGGCTGTGTCCCGCTGACCTGTGTTCTGCTGACGGCGGCAGGTCGGCTGTGTCCCGCTGACCTGTGTTCTGCTGACGACGGCAGGTCGGCTGTGTCCCGCTGACCTGTGTTCTGCTGACGACGGCAGGTCGCCGCTGTGTCCCGCTGACCTGTGTTCTGCTGACGGCGGCAGGTCGGCACTGTGTCCCGCTGACCTGTGTTCTGCTGACGGCGGCAGGTCGGCTGTGTCCCCGCTGACCTGTGCTCTGCTGACGGCAGCAGGTCGTCACTGTGTCCCGCTGACCTGTGTTTCTGCTGACGACGGCAGTCGCCGCTGTGTCCCGCTGACCTATATTCTGCTGACGGTAGCAGGTCGGGCGCTGTGTCCCGCTGACCTGTGTTCTGCTGACGACGGCAGGTCGGCATTGTGCCCCGCTGACCTGTGTTCCGCTGACGTCGGCAGGTCGCCGCTGTGTCCGCTGACCTATATTCTGCTGACGGTCGGCAGGTCGGCACTGTGTCCCGCTGACCTGTGTTCTGCTGACCGTCGGCAGGTCGCCGCTGCGGGACTGCTGACCTGTGTTCCGCTGACGTCGGCAGGTCGTCGCTGCGGGACTGCTGACCTGTGTTCCGCTGACGTCGGCAGGTCGTCGCTGCGGGACTGCGAGCGGGGCCGTGGCGCTGACGGCTGGCCACCTGAAGGCGATCGGTGCGGGCCGTGCAGTGCTGGCACCGGCCTGGGCCGCTCGGCCGAGGCGGTGCGCTGGTGCTACCGCGGCCTGGCGCTGGATCCGACTCACTCCGAGCTGGTGCGCCTGAGCACGCCGCCGCCCGCCACTCAGTCAGCGGCGGGCGCCGGCTGGCCGGAAAGGGTGTCGGGTCACGGGGCGTCCGGTCAGCAACCGATGGCAGGCCACCGAGGCGTCGGGTCAGGAACCGGGCGCGGGTTACGAGATGTCAGAGAAGTCCGAGAAGGGCGTAGTCGCCGGGACAGAAAGCAGGACTGGATGTGGCCCACGGAAAACAGCGGGTTCAGTGCACGACGTTGCGGTAGTGAGAAGCTCATCTGTGGCGCCCGTTCCAGCGCGTGGAAGAACGGAACCAGATGAAGGCGGCAGCTGGAAGGAGCGGCAACAGAAAGCGGCGGATGACCAGCTATCTGGAGGCGCTCCGGTCACGGGGCGTGCGCGTGCTGAACGCCGAGGGCAAGGCAGGTCAGTTTTCCCGAGCCGACGCCCCGAAACACGGCTGTCCGATTGGGACGCGTGTCACGGCGACGCCCCGCAGCTGTTCCAATGCCGGCGCCGGCATGTGCGGCCACGGCGTCAGCTGCGCGGCCTGGCGTGTTGGAATAACCGGCGGCCGGTCTCGGCGCTCGGTCCCCGCCGGCACCCCTCAGAGCTGTCCTGCGCGGTCCGAGGCCTGGTGTGCGGTTGCGTCGTCGGCGCGGCAACGGACCATAGGCC